CTGTTCTTCGCGACAACCTCGATATGAATGGTTCGCTCCTCGTTCATTTTCCCCCAATTTTCCTCTCTCTCTCTCTCTCTCCCATTTAATTTTCTTATTATTGCTATTTTCCTCAACGTATCTATTAAATTCTTTTGTTTTTTTTATTACTTATTATTTACGCGAACCAAAACATGATTTTTATTATTTAAATTGATTTAGTGGTATTAAACTCACTTGAAAGCCTCTGTATATATAGATAGTAATATAGATTTTTTTATTTAATTAAAAATATATTAAAAACAGTAGCAAATTCACGTAAGCATATGTCCGCTCTCAAATCCAAATTTTCGTAGGTTTATCATTCATTTTATTAATTATATCTATTTCATATTAAAATTTTATGTAATTAATCATATATATTTATCTGTAAAAATATTTTTAGATCTGGCACTGATTAAAAATAAATTAAAATGATAAAATTAAAATATAAAATTACTCCAATATCTCAAATTCTTTTATTAAACCTTTTTAAACAAAATTCTAATTTGACAATGCAATGAATGTTTGTTAATTGGGTAATTCTTAATCTTAAAGTAAAATAAAATAATTCTTGCTTTTAATGATTTATAGAACCTTTTATCGTAAAAATAAAGGTTTTCACCTGCTCTATTATATTTATACTATTCTTGGGTTTAAATATCAAAACAATAATTAAATACCCATATGAACGCTACCCATTACCCAATCGTGTTGGTGGAAAGTGAGTGAGGTGGTTTGGCTAAATTATTAAAACAGTATTCTTCTATTCTTTATTTATTAAATTAACACTTAAAAGAATTATTTTTCAAAATGATATTCATTCTACCATATAAGATGAAAGTGTGTATACGTGACGATGCCTTTTGAAATGTTCTTTCTCAAGGCAGCATTTTTGCTTACGTGGTAGGTTACATAAATTGTTTCTCCAACGCTAATATCATTTATGACCAAAATAAAAATATTAAACCAAAATTATATAAATTTTATTAAAAAGAACAATGGCCTATAGTGTAAATTCCAAAACATATTAGAAAAATAACTAATATTTACTTTGATTTCTGAATTTTATATAAAATATATAATATTTCTAGAAAGTTTACTTAAATTTATTAAAAATTGTAAAATTTTAAAAGATTTGTTATATTTTGCTTTTTAAATATTTACTAGAAACATATAAAATATAAAATATATTTTATAATTATTTTTTGAAAAAAAAATTAATGTTTAGGAAATTTTTCTAATTGTAATTGTTTCATTTTATAAGATTTATGTATTTTTACTTAATATTTTTATTTATTTTCATTTTGATCTTGGATGACATCAACATTAAAGAATCTTTTATAATATTTCTAGAAAGTTTACTTAAATTTATTAAAAATTGTAAAATTATAAAATTTTAAAAGATTTGTTATATTTTGCTTTTTAAATATTTACTAGAAACATATAAAATATAAAATATATTTTAAAATTTTTTTTTGAAAAAAAAATTAATGTTTAGGAAATTTTTCTAATTGTAATTGTTTCATTTTATAAGATTTATGTATTTTTACTTAATATTTTTATTTATTTTCATTTTGATCTTGGATGACATCAACATTAAAGAAATAACTCATGTGGCATGTCACGTAAATAAAGGTATTTTCTTAAGGACTAACCTTTCAAAAGACACTGTCACGTAGACACACCTTATCTTATCTAACAGAAATAGATGTCATTTTGAGAAATAATGTTATTTTGATAATTAAATATTATTAAGTATTATTTTAGTAATTTATCCGGTGGATCTAGATAAAAATAGTTTTATGTTTTATATTATAAAAATAAAATTACAAAAAATATTATTTCTAAATTAACGAAATAAACTTAAAATAAATAAAATTATATTTTAAAATATTTTTAAAAATCAATCAAATTAGTTTATTTGATTCTTTTATATAAACCAATTTTGATTTTTAAAAAACTGTATACATGCCAGTACAATAGCATGTATACATCTACGTACTAAAAAAGAAAATATAATTCCAAATATATATATATATATAATAATAAAAAGTTAGAATAATTTGAATTTAAATTCTTTAAAGAAATATAAACTTCAACATATTATAGAATAAAAAGTCAATATCAATATTTATCGAATAAATAAGGAATTATGATAAATAAAAATATAGGAAAATAGAAATTATATACCTGGTTCTTCTCCATGATACTTTGGCGAAAATATTTGAGTGAAAGAGTTTTTGTGGATTTATTCAGAAATAATTTATAAAGGCAATTTTGTCAAGCATCAGCAGGTGAAAATGTGATAAAATACGAGCGTTAAGTTATTCGGGTTTTTTTATATATAAATTGTTTGCGATTTCTAATTATAATTATAATTAGAATATATACGCGGTGGCGATTGAACGTGCGATCTATGATGGCACGTGTCCACTCTGAAATCTAAATTTCTTTATATTAAATGTTTATTTTGTTGATGGTGTCTACCATGAAAATTTATTTGTGTTCACCTCATACGAAAAAATTTTGTTATTAATATATATGTGTCCACCTTCAAAAATATATATGGATCTGTCACTATATATGTATATGTGTGTGTAGATTTTCCCCCATATATAAGCCACTAAATTTATTAAAAAGAGGAAGTATTCAGAATCATAAAGAAAATTTATAGCCATAGTCGTAATCTAAACATATAACAATGACATTTTCATATAATTATTAACTTAAGAGATTGGTCTCTTAAGATCACACAATGACCATACAAGTAAAAAGTTTAAAAACTTAACCAAAAATATTTAAACAAAAGATATATACGAACAAACCTAATTATATAGATAAATGAACCAAGAAAGCGAATCAAGCTACTGAGAGACCACCGCATAGCGATGTGAGAAAACTGTTCATGAACGCAAATCACGTATTTAAATACTATTAGTGAGTCCAAAGCAAAAAAATTAACATGATAAAAAATAAGTGCAATTTTGATCAGTCGTGACAATGTCAAGTCTAACATTGAGAAAAAAAAAAGATAAACGAAAATAAAGGTTACATGATCAAAAATGTGTAATAAAAGTAGAGAAAAATGTGTCATAGCTATATAATTATTAAAAACTAAAAAACAAAGCAAATTAAAAAAATATGATCTAAGAAGATAAAGAAAAACAAAAAATACCAACAATGATAACCGACCACCTATCAACTAAAGACGAGTTCATTTTTTAATTAATTGAACGAAATTACAATGTAATATATGTCTTAAATATTTTCAACTATTTGACACAAAAATTCAAATACTTTTATAATCTCTGATACCCAAATTTAAAAATTCTAAAGATAACAACTATCCTTTAACCATCATTATCTAACAACAGTGGACATAAATTATCTGACAAAAAACGGAATTGTTAGTATGATTATTCAATGATCTATCATCATGAAACTTATATAAATAAATATGATTTTAATTTTGTTTAGTTTGATAAATCTATAAAAAGGTATATGTCGATATGAAAGGAAATGCATTAATGGGATAATTCATGTATTTCATTTCTAATTTCCGTATATGATTATTACTTAATCAACCAAGTAATATCATATATGGCATGCACCAATGGAATACATAATTCATGTCCATTAATATATTTTCTTTCTATTAACATTTACCTTTTATTGACTTATCACACTAAGCATAATTAAAATCACATGTATGTATACAAATCCTAATTTAATAATCATAAACCATTAGATTTACGATCATTGAGTGATCATATTAATAATTACATATAAAACAATCGCACGCGAGACTTTAATATTTTTAATTTTTTCCTTTTTTTAATAAATATGATAATATAATTTATACATTTCCATATAAAACAATTGCATGCGAGGCATGTGACCAACCATTAGATCCACATTCACTGAATAATTATCTATATAACATAAAAAGATGAATAAAAGTTATTTTGGTAGTTCACAAGTTAAATTCGATAATTTATAATATTTTCATTTGATTCACTCAAAATATGTAAATCTATATACTATCAATGAATCAAATGATATCGTTTAATTGGTAACAACATCATCGGTATTTTCTTTACTATTAAACGCATCAAATAAATGCTCACATATCTTACGACGACGTATATGTAGAAATGTGATTTATGTGAATGTTAATCTCAAATCCAACCTAATTAAAAACCTTATTCGAGTTCATGAGTTTCATCTGATGAGATCTTTCTATTTATTCTTTGGCATAATGACAAAATTATTCCCTAATGTTTTTATACATAGTCATTTTGCTTCCTATAATTTTTTTATAGAGTATTTTAATCAACGTTTCATTTTGAAGTAAAATGTATCATAATTAGATGAAAATCGTTAGTTGACAAACGATCAATGTTTCGTGCGAACATGACAAGTCTAGGGGTGTTCAAACTTCGGTCAAAACCGATTTAACCAACCAAACCGAAGTTTTTTTCGATTAATCGGTCAATTAATTTTAAGTTTGGTCGGTTGACGGTTAATGATTTTTTTCAAACTTGGTTATTGGTTAATTCGGTTCAAAATCTGTCGATTAATGATTAATGATTTTTTCAAACTTCGATTATCGGTTAATTTGATTCAAAATCTGTTTGTTAACCGAATTAACAAAATTTTTTAAATATTTAATATATTATTTATATATTACTTAGGCTTAAGAGTGTTTAAATTTCAATTTTAACCAAATTAAGCAAAAATATAAAATAAATTTCGATTAATACAATTAGATTAACCTGTCTCACCACATCATTTATGGTCCTAATTCTCAAAGTAACTTCCTAATTACTACCCACTCCTTATTTACATGTAGGAAAGTGGTGAAGATTCCACCTTAGAAAATAAATAAGATGGATGAATTTTATTGTTTGAGACCACGGATGACGTGGTGAGCCGAGTCCATCTAATATTTTTTTTTCATTGTTCTAGACTTCATTTTTCTTAAAATAAATGTCCAAAACATATGGACATGGATATAGGGGCATGACCCCTCTAAAGATCATCTAAATACATGATTTTTTTATTAAAAAAAGTTGAATATACTCACCAAAAATAGAATACATAACTGACAGTCCCATTGGTAAAGTTAGATACATTTACTTGCCAGAAAATGCAGATCGAAATTGTTCTCTTTGTCCATATAGAAACTTATCCTTTGGAGATGATGTCTTCCGCAGCATCTCTGCAACAGAAATTTTGCTTGTTATGTATCCGAATTCCGAAGAGGACTAACATAAAAAAAGCACACTCATAACAGGCTGGAAATTGAGAAAATGAAATGAAAAGCATTACATACCTCGCTTCCTTTCAAGCTCTTGGTCCAGCTCCTCCTTCCACCTCCTTTGTCTCTCGGAAAAGCTCATGCTGCAATGCCATTCGCAAGATTAGAGAATAGGACATGAAGTTTTTACATGCAAATGTAAGCTAAAGCAGACCACAAAAAAGTATTAGCAAACCTAGGACTAATAGTCTCCTGCTGGGCATTGAGTCCTTTCCATTCCCTGACGGGTGGCTGAATTTCTTGTAAAGTCCGATCACGAAGACCAGCAGTATTTGACAAGGGATTCTTACGACCCTTAGGGCTAACTATGTTGGAAGCATCAGCAACTGCCGAGAGTCTTCTGCTAGGCAACCGCTTAGGCGACCTGCTTTTAGGAGGTAAGCTCAAAATATTTTCACCATTTGCAGTTCCAACAGAAGTTGGAAGACTACCATTCAATGTGTTGTGAAACTCTTCGTACAGAGGAGATTGCATCTTCTTCAGTTCCTGAGCCTGGTCAAATGATAGTACAGAATTAGCTTCTCTCATACAAGACCTCAAGGGAAACAAAATAAAAAAAATGAACCTAAGAATCATCCATAAAAGAAAGATCATTGTATTTGTAAAGCAAACAGTACTTTTTCATCCAGAAAGGCTCTAATTTTTATCTCAGTAACTTCTTCATCATCATCAGCTGCTGGCAGTCCATACAGAAAAGTGAAGCCGTTCTCCTTAGCAGACATTCCAAGAGTGCCAGCAGCTTCTATTGTTTCCCCCAAGGACAAGTTCACTCCACTTTGGCTTAGCTCAGAACTTTGGTCAAATTTGCACGGCCAGTCTTCAGTAGGTTCGCAAATGGGATTAAAACTCTGATGCAAATAAATAATTAAGCAATTTAGTTCGAGCTAATTATAAAAATCTGACAAGAATGGGGGAATCGCAGGAATAGTTTATTACTTTATTCAAATCAGTAGATGCTAAAACAGAGCTGAACTTGACTGAAGTGCCAAACTCAAGATCATCATTGTCATCTATTCGACACATGCTATTGTCACAACTGTTTTCCCTCCAGTAGGCTCCCGGTTCTGATAATTTCACAAGATATGCTGTAGTGCAACTCACACTACCCATTTCACAAACATCCTTTAAACCTATGCTTGTTGATCTGATCCCTGAACTTATTCTGTGACATCAATATTTGTTACCAGCGTTAAGTTCAACCCTTGTATATAAAAAATAAATAAACACGGCTCATGAAATTTGTACACGTACAAGCTCTTCAGGTTAACCCCAGATGCCATCTCCAGATTCTCAGATTCCTGATAGATTAATCAAGGAAGGTCAAAAGAAAAGAAATATCAAATAATAAAGCTTAATGCAATCAGACTTACCGTTATTGAGCTACAAACTGCATGTTCCTCATAGTTTCCAGTCACAAATGGGTGCTGCATTTATTTTGATGAAGATATTAAATTATAACTGAGCAAAGTATTATTTATGTAGTCATATCCACGGCTAAATGCATGCATTACAACCAGCATATGACTATTTTATGAAGAATTCAGGCAAAAACTGGTCAATAATTTCAAATTACCTGAAGCAAATCTGATGCACTAGGTCTCAGTTCTGGTTCTCTGGAAACAAATTGAAATTATTAGGGAAAAGAAAGTTCTTGCAATTTATGCATGATTCAATTACTTCATTGACCTTTTAAAGAAACAGAGAATGGATGGAAAAAAAATATGAAACTCTAACGACACAACAAAAATAGATATCAAGAATGTACTTTTGTAGGCATTTTAACAAGAAATCTTTAGCCTCAAACGAGAGATGCTCGGGGATTGGTGGATGAGATTTAGTTGTCCCAATATAGAAAAGTGCAGCAACCTGAAAGAAACACCAGATCAGCATTTAAAATAAGGGAAATCCAAGCCTAGTCTAGTCTATAATTGGATTATTTTTATATATCATTCTTACGATGGTTTTCTAACAGCTTCAAATACTCACCTCCTGATATTGTTGGCTCCATGGAGGCTTTCCAGTAGCCATCTCAATTATAGTACAACCGACACTCCATATATCAGCAGAGCTAAGAAAAATAAGACCAAAGCAGATAAGCTCCCAATATCAGATAGCAAGGACTACAAGCATTATATTTTAGTTCAATCCAAGCAAATATTTGTTGTACAAGTATATTTCCTAAAAGGTTCTTGTAATGATTTATTATAATTTGTTTCTATTGTTTACAATTTTTGTTCTAAAAAGGAAGGAAAAATTTGTGCAATAAACACAACAGAAAGGAATCATGACTTTATATATAACCTTCCTACTCCAATCTCAAGAGAAATTTGATAGTTTTTATCGTTTATAAGAATGAAGTTACGTGAATTTCTTACAAGCTATGTCCTGTTTGAAGAATAACTTCAGGAGCCATCCAATATGGAGTTCCCTTCATTGATTTGGCGCCGTTTATTGTAGCCTGAAGAAGCAGAAAACCATCACTCCAAATGAATACCATTTAAGGCATGGATGGAAAAGAAAGGAAAATAGTTTTCTTACCAACTCGACAACCTTTTTTGATGCACCAAAGTCTGCAAGTTTGATACACCCCTTGTTATCCACAAGAATGTTTGCTCCCTGAATAAAAGCACATCATCAACCAAAAAAAAAAGCTACGTGTAAACAAGCAACAATTTTCAATGAGAAACAAATGAGGTACCTTAATGTCTCTGTGCACGATTCTATTCTTGTGAAGATATTCCAGTCCCAACAAAAGTTGTTTTGTATACATTCTTATAACCTGTTTTTCAGCAACTATTCTAATTAGTGAGTAAAATTAGATCACCACCGACTAGAGGAAAAGGGGATACACCAAATATTCTAAAATAAAAAACAATAACTTACAGGTTCAGGAAAAGATCCAAACTTCCCCAAAAGAGATGAAATGGATCCACCCGGTACAAACTCCAACAGAATATTCAAGGAATCGTTCTCCCTTGCAGTTCCCAAATATCTCTAACAAACATAAAATACTAAATGATGGCTTGTGAATTAAACACATCAAATTTTAAATAGAATTCCAGAAATCACACTTACAACTATGTTTGGATGTGATAGATTCTTTAGTAGCTTCACTTCTTCTTCGAGCTCTCTAATTTGAGCCTACCCATAATCAATTCAATTAAAGAAAAAAAATAACGATTGTTGTCTGATTCAATTTATAATGTTAAACACACTTTCAGAAGAACTTATAAAAGAAATCCTTTTCTACCTGTATTTTCTCCTTCGAAGCATTTGCCGCAATCAAAACCTTCATCAACAAAAAAAAACATAGTCAAAATAATATAATTTAATAAAAAAAAGTCACGTATTCAATTGAGAGTAACTCGCCTGTTTAACTGCTAATAACTCGCCGGAGTCAAGATTCATCCCCATGTAAACACGACCAAAGGCGCCAGAACCAATCAACTCGCCCTTCCGCCACCGGATCGACGAAGCATCCGTCTTTTTAACAGGAGGAAGAGCGGGAGGCGCAGGTGGCTTAGCGAACAAGCCGATCCGCGATCTGCGAATGCTGGCGCCGATCTTCTCAACAAAGCATCCAAGTCCTCCACCGCCATCTTCGCCGGACGTCGAAGACCTAAAGACAAAAGATCGGCGAACCGATCCAACAAAGTCCTGCATTTAGGGTAAAACAATATTTTTCTTCTCCGACTCAGATCCGTTTGCTCAAAGATTTGGATGTTTTAGGGCTTGTGAAAGAGCGACAGAGTGAGGAGAATTTGAAAGGAGAGGGAAAACTTTTCTATTTTCTTTTTGAAAAAATAAAATAAAGAAACGGGCAAAATGATGGAAGATTAAACTTTCAAATATTATGGGTTTTTTATTTATTAAAAAATGTTTTCGACCGTTATATTCACATCGGGTGTTAGATGTGCTGGGGAAAGATAAAGAGACGGTCTTCTCCTCTTTTTATGAATTTTCCAGTTTCCACCCATTTTGGTTTCAGATCAGTATTATTATTATTTTTATATATAAATTATGCTCATTATCATTTAACTATTTAAATAATTTCAATTAAATTATATGTCGTTAATGAGAGTATTGACTATGACAACTAATAAAATTAGAATAATCATACAATTGATCTTTATTTATATCCTAATTTTAATTTTATTTATTATATTCAATCATTTTTCTTTCGGTGATTATCTAGTTGAAGAAAAAATAAATTATTAAAAAAAAGGTAATACGAAGGAGTTTAGAAGGACTCAAACCTAGATCCAAGGGAAAGAGTGTATGAACCTAAACTACTAAGTTAATCTTAACATTCGTGTTATAAAACACACATTAATATATATATATATATATATGTGTGTGTGTGTGTGTGTTTTGATAGTATAATTATAACAGAAAAAATGAAAGGAAAATTCAAATGAATGGATTCGAACTTGGGTAATTAATATAATTTGGAAGCAATAAATCATTGAAGTAAATCTTATATTTGGATTGTTGAGAAATTGAATTTAAGATTTGTATATAAACTTAAATTGAGTATTTTTAATTTAATTAATTTATTTTTTTATTAAAATAAAATGTACAGAAAATATTTATTTTTTATTTATTTTTCTACTTAGATTTTCACTATTATTCCTCCCAAATTTTGATGAAAGACCTAGGTTTAAAAATAGACATAATGTAAAAATTAGTCTTTAACATTTATTTAAATGGTTATTTTGATATTTATTTTTTGTGTATTTTCGCCCCTAATGGTTTATTTTAGGACAATAAGATCATTAACATTTAATAAAATAGTCACTTTGACCCTTATTCTTTTTTTAGAGCATTTTGGCCCTTAATGTTTCATTTTAGGGTAAAAGGGTCTAAATTTTAAAGTGTTGATCGTGTATTAACTAACAATTTCTATCTATAGAGGGGACTTTTTGTCCCAAAATAAAACGTCAGAGGATAAAATACTCCTAAAAAATGATAGAGGCCAAAATTATCATTTTGGTAAATGGTGGGGGACTAATTTTAGTATTATGCCTTAAAAATATGAGAATGGAGGTTTTTATTAGAGTTGGTGAATTGTAGGGATAAAGTGAGTGAGTGAATTTGAGTTGATTTTGTTGGGGTTTGACCATTGACTTAGGAGTTCAAGGGGGAGAGAGGTTCTTAATGTTAGCTTGAGGAGCTAACGAGTGAAAGTTACCGAGTTGGATTCGAGTTCGAGTCGCAGGGTTGATAGAATTTGACAAAGCTAGTTATTTATTGGCCTAGATGAATAGGTGGGTTTTGGGCCTGATTTGGGCTAGCTCAAACAAATATTAGCGTTAACATATTTTTTTAATTTCTTTTATTTATTTTCTCTTTGATTTTATACTATTTACTTTCTTGATGTTTAAACTTAATTCTTAGAGCTTTCCTCCATTTATTACTTGCCCAAAAAAATCTAATCAACCAAATCTGCTGAGAATTGACGGCTAGATTTCATTGTAGAATAAAATAGTTTCCATTGCTTGTTAGTGTTTCCTACATTATATTTTCTCGTAACGTTTGATAAAATAATCACTTTGATCTATATATATTTTTTTAACATTTTAGCCCCTTAACGTTTCATTTTGAGACAAAAAGACCGTTCCGTGTATGAAAATTGTTAGTTAACAAACAATTAACGCTTGAAAATAACGATTTTTTACTCTAAAGTGAAAAGTTGAGGTTAAAATACTCTAAAAAGAGAATAAAAGAATAAAAGTCCAACCCTAAAATAAAATATTGAAGCCAAAATATTCTTAAAAAATAATATTTGATAAAAATAACTATTTAATCAATCGTTAATATATTTTTAAGTATTATGCCTATTTTTTTCAGCTTTATTTGTGTGAAGAAGTCTTTGATTTCCACAAGTAGAATAACAAGACAACCAGATGACAATGGCAACAAGAAGCAAGGAAAAAGTGAGTTGTACAAGAATATTATGATGAAGTGTAATCAAATCCTTTCTAAAATGGCAGCAGAATGACAACATCAAACTACAAAAGGACTGATTTCATTCATCTAAAGTAAGTGCGTATGTGTGGGGTGATTCATAGTTTTTCTATCTTTTAAAACAATGGAGTATGGTCTTTTTCTTAACCTCTGCAAATGAATTAAAAGTGCCGTAAACCAGAAATCAGTGCTTATAACAAGTAAAAAGCAGCCACCAGGAGGAGTAAGACCAGATGAATTAGACTGGTGTCGCAAACCAAACTAGCAGCACCTGTAGCTGGCGAATAGCTTCCTTCGGGTGTGCCTGTTGTGAGGACAACAACTATCCAGTCTCTGTCGGAACCCGATCCCGACTCCCGTATACTTGGTGTCATTGAGGTTTGAAGAGTACAGAGATTGTGTAAAGTTGGTGAGCACAATATTTGGAACCAGGTTAGGAACACAAGCAGGCATTACTGCTCCGTCCCTTGTGTTGGAGACATTCAAATGGCATTTGGCCAACAGGTTAGGGTAGTTGGCGAACTGTGGTTCGGTACCGGGAACGGTGTTGGCACCGGTGGAGTTTGTGCAAGGTTGGTTCTTGAATTGATCTGCTAGTTCATCGGCAAGGCACTCAGCATTGTCGTTTTTCTTCAGAGTTGTCAAGTTCAATGAAGCCCGGTAATTGTTTATGCCTTTAAGAAGATTAGCCTCCTCATCTGTGGATGTCAATATGAAATCCAGTGAACACATATTGTTTGAATGCACATTTCGATTTCGATTTAACAAATAAATATCTTATTTCGGGTATGAATCATAATGCAAGGAAGATCAGTTTCTTCCTATCTTGAAATAAAAAGAAAATCATAACTACATGGCAGAAAATTTCCGGAGAAATAAGTTCATTATCCATACTATGTAGCTGAATTACTGAACTAAATGTAAGAAAGATACAGTACTGCTATTCATGAAGTTACTCAAAAGTAGAACCAATTAATCCATACACCTCACCAGTAAACTTAGGATATCAGAGAAAGAACACTTCTTTACCAATACAACCCATATTCTAGCCTGAAAATTTGAAAAGCAGATTTTAAATTAAACTCTACTGGTGTTAAGTAGTTACCTTTTTTTCTATTAATCTGGGGTGATTACAAGATAGTAGCTATTCGAATTTGGGAACTCTAAAGAGAATAATACTCATTTTTACCATTGAGATAACTTAATGGGTTCGTTAACTAATTACTTTGATATTATGTATTGATTATATTCATAGAATTTAGGTATTTTCTTTATATTTCCTATTGATAATATGTTTTCGCCCCCTAAAACTTTATAAATTCATCCCGAGTTAGTCCTGCGGACCTGGGTAGTTCAAGTACCAATATAGTTATGCATGATCTTCTCAACAAACCAAAGATGCCAAATAGTGATTATACATGTAATTTTAGCATGGCCGGATCCACTGGAGATCAGATTGCCATAAACTTTATCAACAAGAAGACATAAGGAATTAAACGTTGATCAAATATACTATCCGCAAGTAAAAGGATCTACAAGTTAAAACTTCAAAGACCCTTCAAAACTACAAGGGACCACCATTTTCAATTACATTGAAAGTTAATAATCGGCAAAATCAGATTTTGAAAATTCAACTAGATGGATCCATTTGAATTCTCCTAAAATGGGTTCGTATGTATGGATGCATCAAGTCTAAGAAACGCAGAAACGTCATCATTCAATAATCATATAAACAAGAAAAATAAAAACCAAAAACCAATTAAAAAAATCACACAGATTTCAGATAAATCCAAGAGTTCAAAGCTCGAACAACAAAGAAAAAAAAACCCTAGAACCAGAGATGAAAAAGAGGAAGGAAAGGTTACCAGTGTCACAGGAGACGAGGGAGTTGAGGAAGAGAAAGGAAAGGAGGAGCAATGCGAAGAAAAGGGAGAGCTTTGAAAATGCCATTGTTGATTTGAGCGTCATGAATTGGTGGCCATGGGAATAAGAAAGAGTTTATAAGAGAGGGAAAAGAAGAGTCGAAGAGTTGGGAAGATTGTAGCTGTCGCTGTTGAACTCAACTACCGGTTGTTCACAGTTCCAATCGGTTAGACAGTGATTTGAAATTTTCTGAAATTAGTAAAAGAATTTATTAAAAATTATTTATTCATTAAACAATTTTTTTAATAAAAATATATATTTAAGAAACCATAAAGATCAATGGTGTTCATAATGATAATTTGTGAATAATTTTTTGAAAAATAATATTTTTACTTTTATTTGTTGATCCAAAGGTTGAGAATGATTGTAAATATCATTTAATAGGTTCTAAATCAAATCTAAATAATATATTTGAGTTTGGAAGGATTTCAACAATTCTAACTCTATTTTCAGCTAGTAAAAGAATTGGTTGAGACGTTCTTGTTTAATGAATTTTGAATTGGATTATAACTATATTTCGGTTAATTCGCTTTCAAAAGAGTAAGTAATATGTACATAATTTTGAATTTTCAGCAGGTAAACATGAATCTATTGTTTTGATGCACATAAATATGATAAAATCTAATATAAACTCAAAAGAATAAGTAAGATGTACATAATTATTATTGCATCTGGTTGAAATATGTGCACGACATGAAGTATATTCACATAAACCTACCTTGTATGTTATATGGCTAAGTGGACGTCATATGGGCCTTTAAGTCCATATATAATTCTTGGTTTGCAAGATTGATGTGTATGCATGGTGATGTTGGTGTTTATGCATATTTCGAGTATGGAAATTTTGTTAGATATTAATTTAAAAGGAGCTTATTTATTTGAACAAGTTACATAGGATAAACAAAGTATGTTACGCTTACTTGAATGGTAAAAAGACTTAA